AGATTCTACCACCTCCCTAGGTAACGCATTCCAGTGTTTCACCACCCTCTTAGTGAAAAAGTTTTTCCTAATATCCAATGTAAACCTCCCCCACTGCAACTTGAGACCATTACTCCTCGTTCTGTCATCTGCTACCATTGAGAACAGTCTAGAGCCATCCTCTTTGGAACCCCCTTTCAGGTAGTTGAAAGCAGCTATCAAATCCCCCCTCATTCTTCTCTTCTGCAGGCTAAACAATCCCAGCTCCCTCAGCCTCCCCTCATAACTCATGTGTTCCAGTCCCCTAATCATTTTTGTTGCCCTTCGCTGGACTCTCTCCAATTTATCCACATCCTTCTTGAAGTGTGGGGCCCAAAACTGGACACAGTACTCCAGATGAGGCCTCACCAATGTCGAATAGAGGGGAACGATCACGTCCCTCGATCTGCTCGCTATGCCCCTACTTATACATCCCAAAATGCCATTGGCCTTCTTGGCAACAAGGGCACACTGCTGACTCATATCCAGCTTCTCGTCCACTGTCACCCCTAGGTCCTTTTCCGCAGAACTGCTGCCTAGCCATTCGGTCCCTAGTCTGTAGCTGTGCATTGGGTTCTTCCGTCCTAAGTGCAGGACCCTGCACTTATCCTTATTGAACCTCATCAGATTTCTTTTGGCCCAATCCTCCAATTTGTCTAGGTCTTTCTGTATCCTATCCCTCCCCTCCAGCGTATCTACCACTCCTCCCAGTTTAGTATCATCCGCAAATTTGCTGAGAGTGCAATCCACACCATCTTCCAGATCATTTATGAAGATATTGAACAAAACCGGCCCCAGGACCCACCCTTGGGGTACTCCACTTGATACCGGCTGCCAACTAGATATGGAGCCATTTATCACTACCCGTTGAGCCCGACAATCTAGCCAGCTTTCTACCCACCTTGTAGTGCATTCATCCAGCCCATACTTCCTTAACTTGCTGACAAGAATACTGTGGGAGACCGTGTCAAAAGCTTTGCTAAAGTCAAGAAACAATACATCCACTGCTTTCCCTTCATCCACAGAACCAGTAATCTCATCATAAGAAGGCGATTAGATTAGTCAGGCATGACCTTCCCTTGGTGAATCCATGCTGGCTGTTCCTGATCACTTTCCTCTCATGCAAGTGCTTCAGGATTGATTCTTTGAGGACCTGCTCCATGATTTTTCCAGGGACTGAAGTGAGGCTGACTGGCCTGTAGTTCCCAGGATCCTCCTTCTTCCCTTTTTTAAAGATTGGCACTACATTAGCCTTTTTCCAGTCATCCGGGACTTCCCCGGTTCGCCACGAGTTTTCAAAGATAATGGCCAATGGCTCTGCAATCACAGCCGCCAATTCCTTCAGCACTCTCGGATGCAACTCGTCCAGCCCCATGGACTTGTGCACGTCCAGCTTTTCTAAATAGTCCCTAACCACCTCTATCTCCATAGAGGGCTGGCCATCTCCTCCCCATTTTGTGATGCCCAGCGTAGCAGTCTGGGAGCTGACCTTGTTAGTGAAAACAGAGGCAAAAAAAGCATTGAGTACATTAGCTTTTTCCACATCCTCTGTCACTAGTTTGCCTCCCTCATTCAGTAAGGGGCCCACACATTCCTTGGCTTTCTTCTTGTTGCCAACATACCTGAAGAAACCCTTCTTGTTACTCTTGACATCTCTGGCTAGCTGCAGCTCCAGGTGCGATTTGGCCCTCCTGATAACATTCCTACATGCCCAAGCAATATTTTTATACTCTTCCCTGGTCATATGTCCAACCTTCCACTTCTTGTAAGCTTCTTTTTTATGTTTAAGATCCGCTAAGATTTCACCATTAAGCCAAGCTGGTCGCCTGCCATATTTACTATTCTTTCGACTCATCGGGATGGTTTGTCCCTGTAACCTCAACAGGGATTCCTTGAAATTCCTTCTTCAACATATTCATAAGTGATCTGGAAAAAAAGGGAAAACAGTGAGGTGGCAAAGTTTGCAGGTGATACAAAATTACTCAAGATAGTTAAGTCCAAAGCAGACTGTGAAGAGTTACAAAGGGATCTCACAAAACTGGGTGACTGAACAACAAAATGGCAGATAAAATTCAGTGTTGATAAATGCAAAGTAATGCACATTGCAAAACACAATCCCAATTATACATATAAAATGATGGGGTTTAAATGAGCTGTTACCAGATCAAGAAAAAGAGCATCAATAGTTCTCTGAAAATATCCGCTCAATGTGCAGCAGCAGTCAAAAAAGCGAACAGAATGTTAGGAACCACGAGGAAAGGGATAAGACTGAAAATATAATGCCACTATATTAAGCCATTGTACACCCACCCCTTGTGCAGTTCTAGTCCCCCCCCCCATCTCAAAAAAGATATATTAGAATTGGAAAAGGTACAGAAAAGGGCAACAAAAATTATTAGTGGTATGAAATAGCTTCCATATGAGGAGAGGTTAAAAAGACTCTGACTTTTCAGCTTGGAAAAGAGATGCCTGAGGGGCAATATGATAGAGGTCTATCAAATAATTAATGGTATGGAGAAAGTGAATAAGGAAGTGTTATTTACCCCTTCATGTAACATCCAAATGATGGGTCACTAAATGAAATGAATAGGCAGTAGGTTTAAAACAAATCAAAGGAAGCACTCTCACATAACACAAGGTCAACCTGTGGAACTCATTGCCAGGGGATGTTGTGAAGTTCAAAAGTATAAGTGGGTTCAAAAAATTAGATAAGTTCATGGAAGATAGGTCCATCAATGGCTATTATCCAAGATGATCAGGGATGCAACCCCATGCCTCTGACTGCCAGATGCTGGGAATGGATGACAGGAGATGGATGACTCAATAATTGCCCTGCTCTGTTCATTCCTTCTGAAGCGTCTGGTATTGGCCACTGTCTGAACACAGGGTACTGGGGTAGATGAACCATTGGTCTGACCCAGTATGGCTGTTCTTATGCTCTTATGTACGCAGACTGTCTCTCGTATGCTCTCAATGCACTGCCTGCTGATGCTGAGGCAATGTGGAAGCTGCCTGAATCAAAAGCAGAGAGCACAAGAGCCAGACCTGGTGGGTGTGGAGGGTGTAGATTGGAACAAGGAGCTGGGGTAGAGTGAAGGGAGACTGGAACTAGAGATTGGTGGGGAGCCAGAGAGAAGCTGGGACTGGGAGTTATGGAGAAACTGAGACTGGCTGGGCAAGAAGACTGGAACGAGGATCTGGGACACAGAGGACATTGGGAATGATTGGGCAGGGAGACTGGGATTGGGAGCCAGAGAGAGAAATTGGGCAAGGCCTAGGAACCAGTGGGTGGTTGGGAAACTGAAATAGGATAAGCAAACAGGAAGGGGAAGGGAGGACTTTAAAAAGGAGACCGGGCTGGTGGTACAGTGGTACAGAGGGAAGGGGGAGACAGATCTGACAAGGAGCTAGGTTGTGGGGGGAGAATTGGGATTTGCTCGGCAAAGAGACTGGGAGAAAGAGTCAGATAGGAAAGGACACAAATGCTGGAAAAAGAGCATTGGGAAGGAGACTGGGAGCCAGTGGGGATGGGGAATGGGAATGTGGGGGTGACTGGAGGTGGGGCAGGGAGAGGGATGCTTCAGAGGAGGAGCTGGGACGGGAACTGGGACTGGCTGGGCAAAGAGACTGGAACTGAAAGAATGGGATAAACACTGGGATGGAGGGGAGGAGACTGGGACAGAGAGTCCAGAGCGGGAGACTAGGACTGGCTGGGCAAGAAGAGTGAGGCTGGGATGAGAATTCTGAGGAGTGGAGACTGGCACTGACAAGGTGACAGGAATAGGACTGGGACAAGGAGCCAGTAGTGGGAAAGAGACGGGACTTGGACAGGCCGAGTTGGAGGGGAAGGGGCAGAAGGCCTCAAGCTTGGGGAAAATGGACAGAACAGCCTGTGCCCATTAGAGAACATTCCCCTTCAGAGCCTGGAATGGAATCCATGATTCCCAAGTCTCTCCATTCCTCTGCTCTCAGCAAATATCAGTGAAACCCATTGGCAAAGTGTCCCATCCCGGTCAAGAGCTGGGCCACGTAGAGGATTACAATCTACTAATTCTATTAGGTACTCCACTAGCTCATCAGAGCTCTGTGCAGTGGATCTAAAGGTTCCTGTCCCTGCTTATGACCCATGCTAATGTCTGTGTGATGCTACATGATGGAATTTCTGGTTTTTCAGTTTGCTTTTTTTTTTTAAAACTAGGTAATTACACCAAAAATTAAAAGAACATTATTAAGTTTGCAAAGTCAAGCACTCAAAAGGTAAGAAATGCCAGAATTAAGGTTGCCTGCAGAGCCTATATGCATCATGACACAGTCTTTAATTACATAATCACAAACATTTTTTCCACAGGACTTCTTGTACCCACAACCTTAATTCTGTCATTGCCTGTCTTCTGACTGACTTTGCAACCTTAATGGTCTTTGCATGTATTGTTTTGTGTGTAATGTACTAGTATAGTGTAATACTAGAGGCCTAGATTCTCTTCTACACCCAGTTTCAAAAGTTGGGAAGCTGATTATGCCTTCCTGATTCTCTGACCACTTTTACACCAGTCAGAGTCTCACCATGTTTTAAAGCAACCTAGGGGCTACTCTAAGCCCCACCAACTGGTAACAGTACCTATGGGATCCGCCACCAGCTGTGGGCTGCTTTCGGGTTATGCCCCTTCCCTTCCCCTCCTTATTTGCTACACCAAGGCAGCAGAAGTGGAGATGGCTGGATGAAGCACATAGTTTCTTTCTTCAGCTACAACAAGAGGGTTGTGTGAGAATCCAGTGCAATAATTGTACAAAGCCCAGAGTTGTAGTGTGGAGCTATTGACAGGGACAGCCCATGCTAGTGATAACCATCTGCAATGTTTGTGTTAGAAACAGTGCCCTTGTCTGCCAGTGTTCTCAGTCACTACATCTCTAAGCGGTGAAATATTTTCCTGCCTCATCTTAGAGCAACCAGGTCCTGAACTATCTCATTTTCTCTCTTCCAGTGCTCTGCCCTACCTAATCTGCCTTTGGAGCCGCAGTGCAACAAGAGACAACAAGGCCAGAGTCATTCCATCACAGGGACTGCATGATAGAGTCAATTCCAAAACGTGTATTTAAAAATGTATAGCATTAACCTGGATTAAACATAAGCAAAAAATATTCCTTTGCTGTTGGCTTCTAGTCCTAGTAATCATTGAATGCAAAAGTGAAGGCAGGTGCTGCTATTTTCTCTCTTTGCCACCTGACATAATGAAGACAGTCCTTCACCACACACTATGTATTTTTGGTCCAGCTTCCCAAAACATATCACACTATGGGACTAATTTTGAAATACCGAAATAAACTTTCATTTAATTAAAAGTTGTCACACTTCTTGGAGAAGCAGCTGCCTTACACCAGTTTTGAATTCAGATTTTCATGGCTGGGTTCCTTAACCCCTCAAATAGACAAATCTAAACTTTGGAAAAGAAAATACTTTATGCTCTTTACCTGAAAACAGTTCTTTGGAGCCATGGATTTGTTTTACAAAATGTTAAGCAGAAAACAGAATAGATAGACCTCCTGAGGTCTCTTCCAACCCTAATCTTCTATGATTCTATAGTAGGATTCTCAGTGGAAGTGGAAACTGTCCAAAGAATCATAAATAGCTGAGCTAACATGCCAGTCCGAGCCTTTGCATGAATCAGGACTATTCACTTCTCCATCCCCATGTCTCTACACTCTAAACTCTTAAGCCAAATCCATCACTGGTAACATCTTTCTAACTTGTTACTGATTCTGAAGTGATGGTGTCGTGATTAACTCATCTGGTTCAGAGTCCATTGTATCTGCTACCTTACACAAGACAGAGCAGATGAAATGATGTCAATTAACTTGTTTTGGGGGAAGAACCAGGGATTGAAAGGCTAATTGAAGATGGAGCCCAGCTGAGAGGGAATAGGTGGGGCTGTTATAAAGCTAGAGAGTTGGCAGTAAAGGGGCTTTAAGGAAAGTAGTCTGTAGTTTCTCCCTGGGAGAAGAGAGGTGTGTTTGGGGCTACAGAGTTAGGTAGTCTGCAGTCACCTGCTGGAAGGAAGGAAGGAATTTGGGCTGATAAAACTGGAAAGAGGAGGAGGCCAGAAGATAAGAGCAGAGAAATAGGAAGGAGTCAAGGGGAAACAGCAACAGAGTCTGGATGGAAGTAGACCATAGTTACTGGAAGTAGGGTCCCTGAACTGGAACCTGGAATAGTGGGTAGGCCTGGGTTCCCCTACCAGACAGCGAAAGACTGCCTGGAACAGTTGTGCAATGAGACTTTGATACCACAACAGGCCTGAGTCATGAAGGAGTACGCTGAGTTCCAGATAGAGAGAGAAAGAGGGCCCCTGTGCTAAGAAAGGGCACCAGACCTGGAAGGAGTTAATCCCCTAAACTGCCAAAAGGAGGCACCCTAGAACTGAGTGAGTTGTGTTGTAGACACATACACAAAATCCCATATTTGCACATACAAGTGAACATTTATATGCCCAGTTACTTACTGAGTACACACAGATGGGAATTTACACAGAAACCAGATTCAAATTTCACAGCACAGTTTAGCAAGGTAGCTAAAGGTAGCCGCTTGAAAGATAGCCTCTTTGAAAACTAGAGGCTAGCTCCACAAAGGGGCTTAGGCTTTGCAATGCCTCACTTTTAGGCACCTTGTCACCAGTGGAACCCACAGCTCAGAGTTAGGTAACCTGGGTTCCATATACAACACATGGGGAAAGACAAGCGCCCAGGAATGGAATCCACAAAAGTCAGCACGCTGAGGAGGGAGCTGCCTAAGCTAGCTAATAGGAAATGCTAAGTCCTGCCCCTTCCAAGAGGTAACTCCAGGAGGAATGGAGATGCCTGTCTCAGCTGCTGGTGATACCTCTCCTGGAGTCAGGTGCCTAAATAATTTTGTTGCAAAAAATAACACCCCGGTCAGTGAGGAATAAATTTGGAGTTGGGAAAACCACCGCAGGGTCCATTGCCCTGCAAACTTGCATGACCATTAATTGCCTTCTGCTACTCAGGAATGTGACTCTCAACAGAGTGCAGAACATAGTGAACAGATTTGCAGCAATTGGGTTCCCAAACTGCAGGTGGACGAAGCACACATATCTCTATTTTGGCACCAGACCACCTTGCCACAGAGTACATCGACAGAAAGGGCTACTTTTCCATGCTTATGCAAGGGCTTGTAGATCACCCAGGACTCTTCACCAACATTAATGTGGGCTGGTCAGGGAAGATGCATGACTGTTCAGAAAGCTGCAAGCGGGGAGATTTTTTTTTCCCAGACTGGTAGATTACCATTTGTGATGTTGAAATGCCAGCAGTGATCGTGGGTAATCCAGCTGATCCCTTGGTTCATGAAGCTGTAAACCAGCCACCTTGACAGTATAAAGGAAGGATTCAGCTACTGGCACAGCATGACAGTTGAATGTGCCTTTGGTTGTTTGACAGGATGCTGGCATTCACTCACAAGATTGGATCTCTGTGAGAAAAAGATCCAACTGCTTATAGCTGCCTGCTATATCCTGCATAATAGCTGTGAAGCAAAGGGGGGAAGTTTCTGCCAGGGTGGAGGTGGACCGACTGTCAGCTGAATTTGAACAGCCAGATGCAAGGGTTATTAGAAGAGCTCAGTGCAGAGCTATATGGCTCAGAGAGGCTTTGAAAGACCATTTTAATAGCGAACCAAAGTAGTGTGTGGTTGTGGTGTGCTCTACGTGGCCCTGCTCTTCTGTGACCTGATATGAATCCGGTGGTGATTGCTGTACATGTAGGGATATAACATTATCAATGCTTCTATTAATTTTGCTTGTGAATAATCTTATGAGTTGTGTGGCCCTGTGCAGTAACAGGTTGCTTTCAGAACTGATGAGCAGCAACCACCATATTTTGAACTAATAAAGATGGATTATGTTTCAAATAACAGAATTTTATTCTGTAACCAAATCAGTGCAATCCGCCCTCGCCCACTGCCAAAACCCCCACGAAACCCCCACGAAACAAAACCTGGGCAATTTAAAAACAAATACATTAAAAACGTAATAAAATTTACTAAATTAAGAGAACAGAAGTTATGAAGGGGAAAGTATATTTGTGTCCATTTCAGCTACATAATATCAGCTGTGGCTTTCACATGTCAGAGTATGTGAAGCTCTGGTTGACTTTAATGTCCTCCAGAGTGGAATGGCTGGGGTACTGCAGCAACCCCTGATGCCATGATGAATGTTGAGGGGGTATAAGATGGTCCCAATATTGAGTTCTCAGTGGGCTGTAGAGGGAAGGAAGCTTTGGCTTGTTGAATCTGCAGGTCCACCAGCGTCTGCAGCATGTCTGTCTGCTGCCTGAGAAGCCCCATTGTGTCCTGATGCATCTCCCTCTCCTTGTCCTGCACCTTTCTCCACTCCACTTTGTCCTTCTCCAGTGTGTCTGCAATGTTCATCCTCCAGGACCTGTGCTCGTTCTCTGATGAAGCACTGGTTTGCAGGATCTCACTGAACGTCATCCCGAGTCCTCTTCCTTCTGCTTATGTGGCTCAGACGTTCTGTGGGTGTGATAGGCCACAATGGCAGCAGTTGCAGCTAAAACACACAGAGGTATCATTGTCAGTATATTCATTATGGAAAGCAAAATTTAAGAGGCTGAAATCGTTCCCCTGCTGGATGACATTTGGGGTTGATGTAAGTAATGCAGTGTCTACACTCAACCTGTGTTGACCTAAGTACATTGACTGACTTTATGCCACTTGGGCCGAGAGTGTTATTAAATTGGCATAATGGGGCACACGTTTAAGATAACTGATTTTTTAGACAAAAGAAATGCAGTAGATCTAATCTACCCCACTGTCAATAAGGCATTTGATACAGTCCCACATGGGAAATTATTAGTTAAATTTGAGAAGATGATGGGGATTAATATGAGAATTGAAAGGTGCATAAGGAACTGATTAAAGGGCGACTACAACAGGTCATACTGAACGGTGAACTGTCTAAGGGGAGGGAGGTTACTAGTGGAGTTCTTCAGTAATCGATCTTGGGAGTAATCTTATTTAACATTTTCATTAATGGCACAAAATTAAAAATTTGCGGATGACACAAAGTTGGGAAATATTGCCAATACAGAGGAGAACCAACATATCATACAAGAAGGTTTGTACAACCTGGAGAACTGGAGTAATAGAAATGGGACACAATTTAATAGTGCAAAGTACAAAGTCATGGATTTAGGGACTAACAACAAGAATTTTTGCTATAAATTGGGGCATATCAGAAGAGGAGAAAGATCAAATGCATCAAATGAGGTATTTCCAGGAGAGATAAGGAAGTGTTGTTACTACTATACAAGGAACTGGTGAGACCTCATCTGGAATACAGTGTGCAATTCTGATCTTTCATGTTTAAGAAAGAAATTGGAAGAGTTGCAGAGATTGGCTACTAGGATGTGCAGACTGTGTGGAGTGTGGCACCAAAGTGAACTTGTATCTGGGGGCTGGTTTCATTCCTTTGGGAGTGACAAACAAGGGTGGAAATGTCCGAGTATCTGGTTGTTAAGAACTTGGGGTCAGTGGGTTTGCGGAGACTTGGGACCAGGCGGACTGTCGGGTCACCCTGCAAGGAGCAAACAGGCTGGTGGAAGCCAGGGTGAGACCTTTACGCTTGGGGGCTGACTAGTGCTAACAAGGCTCTGGACCATAGTAGAATAGCAGAGAAGTTAAATATGAACATAAAATATTCTTGTTGGAAGATTGCAAGATAACACTACTTTATTTCTTAGCATTCAGAATGACTACATACCAGAACCGAAAACCACAGAGAGAAAACAGGCTGCTCCCTAAGGCAGCAAGGCACAACTCCCTTCACCTGGCTTTAAGCTGGTGCTTTTCAGACTGACTCTACTCACACGCTTTGCTAAAAAGCCCCCTAGCCTGCAAGCAGGACCATGAACATTCATATGCTTTTAAACTCATAGGTTTTGATTCCAACACAGACCTCAGTACACCACAATTGAAGTCTCTCTAGTGAAGGCAAGCTCTCTCAGGAAATGGAGTCCATTGTCTAGACAGTGGTCACAGGAGAATGTGACATATAGGAGGGATGTTAAAGAGGCAGAGGGAAACAATTCATGGTTTGCTGTAGGTTGAC